AGGAACCCGATCTGGGTTCCTCGGGAGGAACCCACGAGGAACCCGACTCTGGGTTCCTTGCGACGAGGAACCCAGATCGGGTTCCTTTCTCTGGGTTCGGGAACCCGAACAAATTTTTTTATTTATTTTATTTTTTTATTTAAGTAAACCACGTCATCAAAAAAGGCATCCACATTGAATTACTAACGGCATATATTGGCCACGTCAATTTTTGAGTGCCACGTAGTACATTTTGTAACGGTACCGTGACGATGCGTTAAAATGTGGGGTTTTTTACGGGTTTTGAAAAGTGAAAGGTGTGAATAGGGAGAAAAAATTCCGGAAGGTGTTGACCGCGGAAAAGAAATAAATGGAGGGTGCAAATAGGGGCTTTGGCCTTCTAAATATTGTATAGGTATTATATATTTGACATATGTTTTAGTTCTGTCTATATAATTAGTAATCTTTCCATTTTCTTTTCTTGAGATAGGAATGAAAATTAAATCATAAAATGAAAATTAGCATTTAATAAAGTTTTCTTACTAAATATTTAATTAGTATTAGATTTTGTTAAAGAAAAATAGAGAAAAATATAAAAAAAATTAATTTTAATTTTAATTTTTTAAAAGTTGGGTCCACCCGATCCACTCCGAGACCCTTGTGGGTGGGTCATGGGTCGTGGGTCATGGGTTTACCCCTTCAATCTGACACTCGAAATGATCCAATTTAAAAAACTTGAGATCCGAATCAACCCAATTCAAACCCACCCAATCCGACCTGTTTGCCAGGTTTAGACCAAATTAAATGCGTTGGATTTAAATTAAAAATTTAGTTATACACAAGTTTTACATATCATATTTATATAAAATTTTAACAATTCATCTTTTCATTTTCAATTGTCAAAATTTATCATAATTTTTTATATTAACAAAGATAATTATCTTTAATAAATCTCAACTATTTACAGTGAAAAAATAAGTAATTGAAATTCATATAAATGTAATATATAAGACTTATATATTAATAAATCTTAACTCTTGCATATATCATCCTCATCCCTGAGGAAATCAAATTTAACTAGGTTTTTTTCCTACTGGATAATATAATTTTAACCAAAATGTAAACAATATGAAAAGAGAGAGAGAGAGAGAGAACTAGGAAATATAAACAATTCTAAAAAAACAAAAGTCATACCTGAAATATATATATATATATATATATATGGACATTTTCTGTAAATCGAAAGTGGGTGAATTTGTTCATGTTTTCTATTCGAGGGCTGATTTCGAATTGTTTAATAAGTTCAGTAACAGAC